AAAAGCTATTCTATTTATACAAAATGAATTTGCTACGGCTAACTAATTGCTACGCTATAAACTAACTAAATTTGTTAATATAAATGTTAAACAATGATTATAATATATATAAGAAATATAAGAAATATAATAAAAATAACATATATTATAATAATAATAAAAATAACAAATATAACGAATATAGTTGAAATAATGAAAATAAGGGGAATTAGGCTAATCTTGCGAATCAGGCTGATCAGACAATCAGAAAAATCAGGAATTCTGTAGATCATTTGGCACAGTACTTATTATGTCATCATTCCATATGTCATTGATGATTGGCACAGTAGGGTTAATTTCAGATGTTGACAAATCTCCTTCCACTTGAATTTCAAATGTAGTGAGAAATATTTTCGCCCTCGAAACTTTCCTACTAATTTCCAAAATTTTTACTAGATTTTTACATATTTTACAAAAATATGTAGTTCACGGTAATTAGACTAGGCTTTACAGCCAGATCCCTTTTCAAAGACTTTTATGTTGATAGTAGTAGTCTGTAGTAATTAGACTAGATCTTAAGATCAAATCCCCCTCAGGACTTTCAACGGTTATAATTAAAGTTTATGATATACTTATATAGGAACAAAATTTAATAACCTTTGAAATTATGGGACTTCTAGTCATATAAAAATTGTTTATCATACATTGATCTACATCAAATAAATTTTATTAAAATTTCTCTTCCTTTAAAATTAAATTATTCCAAAATGCCTTCAAAAAGTGCTATTCAAAAGAAACTCGAACAAAACAGAACCTTTCATACTGAAAGGAAAACAGAAAATCTTCAAGAACAGCTTGCTCGTCTTTGCTTTTCCCTTTGCTTAGAAGAGCAAAAGAGGCTCCTTGCTGATGAATTACTTGAAGTTCATCAAAGTTTACAAGAACTTCGTGAAGAAAAAGAAGATAGGGATAATACTATTTTACTTCTGAGAGATTGTGAAGAAGAATTATTGTGAGGTCTGGATTTTTTAGAGATCCAAAATCTAAATCAACAGGCAACAAACTTGCAGAAATGGTTATATTACAAGGATGTTTTGGAGGGAAGGATTATTGTTAATGTGGATAGGACTTGGTGGTGGATTTGTATTTCTCTTTTGGTTGG